CATCGGCGATGTACTGCCAATTCCAGCTCGATGCTCCCCCCCAAGCGCCAGTGCCCCCATAGCGTTGCCCCTCAGGATTGGGCCCTGCCAGGATCGGTGCGTGCTCGGTTAACTAGTTGGTCGGGGGTGGACAGACCTCCTACCCTGACAGGTCGATTAAGGAATTGGCCGTTTTCGGTTCGCGAGAGGGCGTCGCGGCCGTCATTTTTGCGGGTCCAGGTCCGTCGGTTTCGGTCCCAGGCCGTTTTCCTTAAGGGGAGGTCTACTAAAGGGAGGTTTGTCCACCGCCGAGTTGGCGCCCTCCTATAGACGAGGCCAGCGGCGGCGCCCGCAGGGCCTTTGCCAGGCGCTCGGCGCCCCAGGAGGCGGGGGCTTTCTCGCGAGGAGAAGAAATTGGCACAGCCGTGCATTTGGAGTCGGCTCGGGGTCGAGAGGGATAGGGATCTTGATCTCCGATCCTCGATGCTCGACCCTCGATCCTGGATGCTCGGCCCTCGATCCTCGATGTTGGAGTCGGCCAGGGGTCTGAGGTGGCCCAGCACTGGTTCCAGCGAGCAGGAAAGGGGGTCCAGGTTCGAGGTTTTGGGTCCGAAGAGTTTTTTTTTTCCTGGCCCCCGGGGCCAATTTCGGGCCCCGGGACCGTCAGAAACATATCCAGGGTGATAAATTACACCAGATGGACCCCGGGGGGGTCTGGGGATCGATTTTGAACAGACCTTGCTTCATCAGCCCCTGCTGACCGATTTTCTGGGGTCGCAACCAGTTCAGATCCCCAGTCGCCCGCTGCCTCCAACAGACATACATGTTCGTTGCCGTACCTGCCGGTGCCAGGACTACGCCTGCGGCGTAGGTGCGAATGATAAGAGGGAGAGTAAGAAGACGAAACAGGATGACATCCACATTAATAATAGTCATAAGAAGAAGCCATAGTCATACAACGAAGAGCAACCCAGCAACAGCATCAACTACTACTACTACTACTACTACTACTACTACTACTACTACTACTACTACTACTACTACTACTACTACTACTACTACTACTACTACTACTACTGCTGCTGCTACTACTACTACTACTACTACTACTACTCTACTACTGCTATACTACTACTACTACTACTACTACTACTATTACTACTACATACTACTACTACTACTACACTACTACTACTACTATACTACTACTACACTACTACTACTACTACTACCTACTACTACTAGACTACTACTACTAATACTACTAACTAATTCTACTACTAGTAGTAGTAGTAGGTAGTAGAGTAGTAGTAGTAGTAGTAGGAAGGCAGTAGTAGTTAGTTACTACTACTATACTACTGGTACTACTACTACGACTTACTATAATACTACTACTACTAAGACTACTACTACTACTACTACACTACTCCACGACTACGACTACGACTACGACTACGACGGACGCGCCTCATACTATCAGTACACCTACGTACTTAAATATTATACTACTATATACTTACTCTACTACTACTACTATTGTTACTACTACTATACTACTACTACTTACACTACTACTACTACTTACACTACTACTACTACTACTACTACTACTACTACTACTACTACTACTACTACTACTACTACTACTACGTACTACTACGTACTACTACGTCCTACTACGTACTACTGCGTACTACTACGTACTACTACGTACTACTACGTACTACCTACTACTACTACTACTACTACTACTGCTATTACTGCTATTACTACTACTACTACTTCTTCTTCTACTACTACTAGTACTTTTTTGCTACTACTACTACTACTACTACTACAGCTCCTCCTCCTCCTCCTCCTACTACTACTACTACTACTACTACTACTACTACTGCTACGACTACTACGACTACTAGTATCACTACCACGACTACGACTACTACGGCTTCTACCACTACTACTACTACTACTACTACTACTACTACTACTACTACTACTTCCTCTTCTTCTACTATTACTACTACAAGTACTTTTTTTGGCTACTACTTCTACTTCTACTACTACAGCTCCTCCTCCTCCTACTACTACTACTACTGCTACGACTACTAAGACTACTAGTATCACTACCACGACTACTACTACTTTTATTATTACCACCACTACCATTATTAGTAGAAATACTACGGCTACTACCTCTACTAGTACTATTACTACTACTACTACTACTACTACTACTACTACTACTACTACTAGTACTACTACTACTACTACTACTACCACTACTACCACTACCACTACCACTACCACTACCACTACTATTACTACTACTACTACTACTACTACTACTACTTTTAGTACTACTTTTAGTACGACTGTTTCCACCACTGTTATTACTACTGATACTACTACTACTACTACTACTACTACTACTACTACTACTACTACTACTACTACTACTACTACTACTACTAGTACTACTACTACTACTACCACCACCATTACTACTACTACTACTACTACTACTACTACTCCTACTACTACTACTACTACTATTACTACTACTACCACCACTACCACTACCACTACCACTACCACTACTACTACTACTACTACTACTACTACTACTACTACTACTACTACTACTACTACTACTATTATTATTACCACTACCACTACTACTGCTCGTGATCACAAATTACAAGACGACTGATCAACACACATTGGTGGAGAAGCACACACATAAGAACGCGCATGCACACATATATAGAATTATATATATAATTATACATCTAGGTATGTGTTTGTTTAGCTTTATATGAAACTGCGATAGTCATAGCAATCATCTCCAGCTGCCTCCGGCAATTCCGCCACCGCGCCAGCGTAGAGTTCCAGGTGGCAAGTACTCGAGAAGGCAAGGGGGTCTGCGTGGGGCCTCTCAGGGCAGAAGCCTCGAATTCAGGGTTCGTGTTCCCACTCTTAGGCCCGTCTTCGGGCCGTCTTGGAGCTCTCTTGGGCAGTCGTTGGTGCCTCTGGGGCCGTTTTTTGGGCTGTCTTGCTTGGAGCTCTCTTGGGGGGCTCTTGAGCCGTCTCGGGGGTATCCTGGGAGCCTCTTGGGCCGTCTTGGAGCGTCGGAGGCTCGAAAAGACAACAACCCGAACAAAAATTGAAACAGCTAAGGGTTTCAATGGTTTCTGCCTCTCGGAGCCCTCTTGGGGGCCTGCTTTGGCCCTCTTGGGGCATCCTGAGCCCTCTTGGGGCAGAAGACTCGAATTGTCGGCTCGTGTTCGCCCCCTTGGGCCCTTCTTGGGGCTGTCTTGGGACCCTCCTGGGCATTCTTGGGCGCCTCTCGGGCCGTCTTGGAGCCCTTTTGGGTCGTCTTGGGTCCCTCTTGGGGGCCTCTTGGGCCGTCTTTGGGCAGTCTTGGTGGCCTCTTGGGTCGTCTTGGGATGTCGGAGGCTCGAACAGGCGACAACCCGAAAAACATAGAAACACCATAGGACAATCAATGATGTTTGCCTCTCGAGGTCCTCGTGGGAAGGCACTTCGGGGCTCTCTTTGGGCGCCTCGACGGCCTCGTGGGCCGTTTTGACACCATCTTGGGCCGTCTTGGAGCGCTCTGCGGCCATCTTGCGGGCCTTGGTGGCCTGAGCCACCTTGGGCATCTAGGACGCCTTGGAGAGCGCCAGGGAGGTGTGAGGCGACCCAGGGAGCCTTGGGGAGAGGGGGCGGTGCATGGAAGGAAGCGCGTCCCGAGGGGTGTGGGGCCCTGAAAATTACAGAAACCCGACCAGACAGACCTTGGCATTCTTCCATACCTCAACGTGCACAAGGCATGGTGGCGGATTAGTAGTGCTGAGACTAATGAGACGGAAACGCCTTAACTACCATTTTTTGGAGTTCCGCGTGGCTTTCTTGGATCGCTGCTGGGGGCCCCCAGGCGGCGCGTCCAGCGCCACAGTTTTTTCACCCTTGGTTCATTTTGACGGTCCCGGGGCCCGAAAGGGCCCTTGGAGACTAGAAAAGGCAGAACTCGTTCCCGAACCCCTTCCTCCCACCCCTCCCCTCTTCCCCTTCCTCCCCTCGCCCCTCGCCCCTCGCCCCTCCCCCCTCCCCTCCCCTCCCCTCCCCTCATCCCCCCCTCCCCTCCCTGCCTGGACCCTCGAGCCTCGCCTCCTCCCGTCCCTTCCCCCCCCTTTCTGCTCGCCAGAGCGAATGCTGCTGCTGCTGGGCCACCTCCGACCCCCAGCCGGCCCCACGAGGCAGGATCCTGTTACTTGGCATCGCTCGGACGTGTGCATTTTTCCCTTCTGCGAGGACCATCTAGGAGCATCCTTGATCATTTGGCGAAAAAAACCACGCACGAAACCTAAAAAATCACAGGGAATGGACGTCCGAGCGATGGCGAGGTTAGGGGGCCACACGCGAACCCTACCCCTGCCCCTACCCCCCGCGATTTCTGAGGGGGGAGGGTGGGGTTCACTCCGCTCGGAAGGGCGCGACCGACGAAGCGCGCGACAGGGCCCGGAGACCTCCGGGCCGCCCCCCCCCCCGAACAACAGACTCCCCAGCCTTCGTCCTCGTCGCCGCCGCCGCCGCCGCCGCCACCGTCGCCGTCGACGTCGCCGCCGGCTCCAACCAGGCCTGACTTTGTCAATGCAAACGGGGGTCAATGCAAACGGGGGTCAATGCAAACGAGCCTTGAGACGGGGGTCAATGCAAACGGGGGTCAGCCAGGGCACCAGATCCTGCAGGATCCTGCGAAGACCCCCTCTGGCTGACCCGGGTCAGCGAGCCGCTCGTGGCCGCGAGGCGGCCGCGCCTATTGGCTGACCCGGGTTTGCGAAGACCTGCGTTGCAGTTTTTTTAATCCGGCATTGCAGTTTTTGGTTTCCCGCTGACATTCCTCTCCTGGGGGGCCGCATGCGAGCCCTACCCCTACCCCCCACGATTTCTGAGGGGGAGGGTGGGGTAGGCTTCGCATGCGGCCCCCTATCTCCTCTTCCTCCGCCCCCGCCGTCGAGGCGGCCGGCGCAGGCGGCGGGGGGGGCGCCGCCGAGAGCCCCCCAGAGGGCGAGGGCCCGAGCCGCTTCGCGCACCTGCGGCTCTCCGAGGGGACCGGGGGCGAAGTCGGGCAGTGCCCCTCTGCAGGAGGGGAGTGTTTCGGGGGTGGGCAGAGCCCCCACCCCGACACGTCGATGAGCGAATTGTCCGTTTCCGGTTCTCGAGAGGGCGCCGCGGCCGGCGTTTTCCAGGCTTGCGCCCACCAGTTTTTGGGCCCGAGGTTTTTTTCACTAAACCACGTTTTGCTAAAGGGGGTTCTGTCCATCCCCGAGTGTTCAAGAATAGTCAAACAAGAGTCTCGTCAGGATGTTACGTGCTCTTGTTAGACGTATTTGTTTGGGGCTTCTTCTTGGGCTCTCTCTCTTTGTTCTTCCAAAATCCGCCTCTGGGATGACATGGCCGACCTGAACCAAAAAGGGTCGAGGATCTCGATCTTCGATCCTCGATGCTCCGTCCTCGACCCTCGATGTCGGAGCCGGCTGGAGGTCTGAGGTGGCCCCCGCACGGGCTCCGGCGAGCAGGAAGGGGGGGGGGGGGGGCAAGGTTATCGAGCTTCTCGGTTCGAGCAGGCTTCGTGTTTTCTTCGGTCTCCGGGGGCCCTTCTCGGGCCCCGGGACCGTCAAGCACGGAGCTGGGTTCAAAACCGCCTCCGAGATCTTGGATGTTCGGCCCTCGATCCTCGATGCTCGACGCTTGATCGTCGATCATTGGTCTTCGATCCTCGATCCTCGAAATCTTGATCCTCGATTCTCGGTCGAGGTTCAAAGGTCGATGTTTCGAGGATCGAGGATCGAAGATCGAGGGTCGAGGTTTCGAGGGCCCTGGGTTGAGGTTTCGAGGATCGAGGGTGGAGGATTGAGGTTTCGAGGGTCGAGAATCGATGATCGAGCATCGAGCATCGAGGTTTCGAGGATCGAGAACCGATGTTCCGAGGATCGAGGATCGAGGGTTGAGATTTCACGGATCGAGCACCTGAGGATCGAATATCGAGGCTTCGAGGATCTAGGATCGAGGTCTCGAGCATCGAGGATCGAAGGTCGAAGGTCGAAGGTCCAGGCTTCGAAGACTCGAGGGTCGATGGTCGAAGCTTCTGGACGCGGTGATCTTCCTCTGGCCTCTGGAGGCCTCCTCGACTCCTCCTCCCTCTCTTTCCCCCCCCCACCTCCTCCTCCTCCTCCTCCTCCTCCTCCCCCTCCTCCTCCCCCTCCTCCACAATTACTCAATATGAATACTACTCTCCCTCTTCCTCTGATGGCGTGCTGGGAGTAGCCGACCCCCCCCCTGCGTCCTGCTTTTTTACACACAGGATTCCTGGGAGTTGGGTTTTCGCCTGCATTTTTTTTCAAAATGCTGCTCTCGCTGAGGCGCCGGCCTCATTTTCGGGCCCCGCTCGTTCCGAATCGTGCTCCCGCTGCAGCGCTGGCCTCATTTCCGTGCTTCCGCTCGTTCCGAATCGTGCTCCCGCTGCAGCGCTGGCCTCATTTCCGCGCTTCCGCCCGTTTCGACTCGTGCTCCCGCTGCAGCGCTGGCGTCATTTCCCGTGCCATGCCACAGCACACGCGCACACACGCACACACACACACACCACCACCACCACCACCACCAGCACCACCACCACCACCACCACCACCACCACCACCACCACCACCACCACCACCACCACCACCACCAGCAGCAGCAGCAGCAGCAGCAGCAGCACCAGCAGCAGCAGCAGCAGCACCACCACCACACCACCACCACCACCACCACCACCAGCACACCACCACCACCACCACCACCACCGCCACCACAACCACCACCACACCACCACCACCACCACCACACACTCCCACACACACACCACACCCACCACCACCACCACCAACCCACCACCACCACCACCACCACCAACACCACCACCACCACCACCACCACCACCACCACCACCACCACCACCACACCACCACCACCACCACACAACCACGCACACACGCACGCACGCACGCACGCGCACCACCACCCACTACGCACGCGCGCGCGGAGCCACAGGTCCGCTACGACACGCGTCCGCGGATAGAGAAAATCAGCGCCATGGTAAGGGATGGGAGGGAGGGGTAGGACGTCAGATATGACGCGAGCGCACCTAGCTTGCCCTCCTCCCCCTCCTCCTCCTCCCCCCCTCCTCTTTACCCTCCTCCTCCTCCTCTGCCTCCTTCTCCTCCTTCTCCTTCTTCCTTCTCCTTTTCCGTCTTCCTCCTCCTCCTCCTCCTTCTTCCTTCTCCTTTTCCGTCTTCTTCCTCTTCCTCCTCCTCCTCCTCCTCCTCCTCCTCCTCCTCCTCCTCCTCCCGGGGGAGGACCCCCAGAGGCGAACGGCGGTTGGCGGCCACAATGGGTGTGGTTACGGCGGGATGTGGTTTGCGATCAGCGCCGTTCGGGCTCCAGGGGGGTCACCACGCTGCGCCGAGAAGGTTTGATGAGTCCTCGTCGGGGCGCGGCGGAGCTCTCTGTCGAGGTCCTTGCCAGTGCTCCCCGCCCAGGCGAGGGTTGCAAACCACACCGTTTGAGAACCACATCCTTCGGAGTCGCCGAGCACAGTCAACCCGCATGGTAAGGATGGGCAACCTTCCCAAGGATACCCTTGCATTTTTGCGTCCTCGGTCCATCCTTGGCCACTATCGTCGGCCGCGCCCCGCTCGAGAAGCTTCGACATGGGCGTCCAAGGCCCTTGCATCCCTATCGCGCGTCCTTCTGATACGGGCTGGCTGTATGTCCCCACAGCAAGTTACCCCCCCAGGCATGATCGGGTCGCGCAAAACGGTTACGGCGGGAGGTTCCTGGCCCTTGCCGGCCTCCAGGGGCCCTCGCCGGGCCTCGGGGCAGTCCGTCAAGAAACCTTGCATCCTTATCGCACATCCGTATGATACGGGGCGACTGTATGGGCCCAGACATGATCGCGTCGCGCAACAAAGTTGACGACATGAGGTTTCTGGCCCTTGCTGGCCTCCAGGGGCCCTCGCCGGGCCTCGGGGCCGTCCGTCAAGAAGCGGCTCGGAAGGAGAAACCAGCCCCAGGGACGGGGTCGGGAGTTCCGGGGACGACGAGGAAGAGGAACAGGAGCAGGAGGAGAGGGAGGAGGAGGACGACGAGGATGAGGAGGAAGGAGGCGGAGGAGGAGGAGGAGGAGGAGGATGAGGAGGAGGAGGAGGAGGAAGAGGAGGAGGAGGAGAGGAGGGTGAGGAGGAGGAGGAGGAGCGAGGATGAGGAGGATGAGGAGGAGGAGGAGGAGGGGGAGCAGGAGAGAGGGAGGAGGAGGAGGAGGAGGAGGAGGAGGATGAGGAGGAGGAGGAGGAGGAGGAGGAGGAGGAGGAGGAGGAGGAGGGCAGGAGGAGGAGGAGGGGGGGAGGAGAGGAGGAGAGGAGGAGGAAGAGGAGGAGGAGGAGGAGGAGGAGGAGCAGGAGCAGGAGCAGGGGAGGAGGAGGAGGAGGAGGAGGAGGAGAGGGCAGGGAGGAGGGAGGGGGAAGGAGGAGGAGGATGAGGAGGAGGAGGAGGAGGAGGAGGGAGGAGGAGGAGGAGAAGAGGAGGAGGAGGAGGAGGAGGAGAGGAGGAGGAAGGGGGAGGGGGAGGAGGAGAGGAGGAGGAGGAGGAGGAGGAGGAGGGGGGAGGAGGAGGGAGGAGGAGGAGGAGGAGGAGGAGGAGGAGGAGGAGGAGGAGGAGGAGGAGGAGGAAGGGGACTACGTGTGGGAAATATCGGGACATCGCATGTCTAGCATCTGGGCCTGCAGCGTGTCGGCGCCCCTGGCCACAACTGCAACTCGAGAAGTGATTTCGCCATTCCCCTGGCCCCCCAGAAGCGGACGGATGTGTGCGGCTCCGGGAGCTGCGTCTGGCAACACCGCCACAGCAGCACACGGCGGTGGAATATTTCCGCCTCACCCTTGCACAAAGTGAACGTCTCAGCCCTAACAGCCTGTCTCCAAACCACGCCCCAAGTCCCCGCAAAAGGACCGGCCGCGAAGTAGTCATGGTCGTGCCGAAAGCTTGGGAGCTTGGGAGTGGCAACTCCCAAGCTCCCAAGCTTGGGAGCAAAGCTCAGTTGTCCACGAAAGCTTGGGAGTGGCAACTCCCACTGTGGATCGCTAGCATAGACCTCACGAAAGCGTTCGACAGGCTGGAACACCACGTGCTTTTCCAGGCATGGTCGGAGCAGGGAGTTCATGTAGAATATGTGCGTCTCTTGTCAGACATCTACAGTGCCCAATGGGGCAGCGTCAATGGAAGTGAAGCGTTCGACATTACGCGCGGCGTCAAGCAAGGAGACGTTTTGTCATCATTGCTCTTTAACGCCGGCTTGGAGCACGCAATCCGGAAGTTCAAGCTGCGTGCTCGGCAGTGCGGCTTCGACGTTGGAGGCGTCAGCTTGCTTAGCAATATACGGTACGCCGACGACATTTTACTATATGCGCGTTCTGCAGCAGAGGTTTGTCGCATGCTGGACATCCTTTCGGAAGAATTGTCAGCATGCGGCCTGTCATTGAATGCAGACAAAACGCGAATATTTACTAACGACGTTGCTGTTTCCAATGCCGCAGAGCCCACCATTCTGCAGCTTGCCGGTTGCCAGTTGCCGGTTATGACGTCCCAGGTGCTTCACAAGTATTTAGGTAAGAAATTCGGGGGCGACTTGCGCAACAGGTCAGAGTGCAATGTGAACTACCGCATGGAGTGCGCATGGGGGAAGTTCCATTCCCAGAAGGCAGTACTTTAGAACAGATCTATATCTTTGCGCCTTCGTTTGAAAATTTTCGACGCGATTGTTACGCCCACGGCTGTTTACGGTCTTTCGACAACAGCCATGACAGCACAACAGCGGGCGCGAGTTGTATCGACGCGCTCAAAAGTGCTCCGCCGGATAGTTGGTCTTAGCAAACTTTCCCACGAACGTTGGGAGGAAACGGGGCGACGCACCAAGCAGAAAGTGACCGTTGCTTTGAAGTTTTTCCTGTGTCGAACTGGCTTGTCGTGTTGGATCGCTCAATGTGGCGCCTCGTGGCGCGACTCGCCACCGGCGGCTCGCGAGAATGGCCGGCGCAAGTTCTACGGTGGCGTCCGGACGGCATCAGACGCCGAGGGCGGCCACGTCGAATATGGACAGATGCCGTCGATTCATTTTTGCGACAAGAGCACGGCACGAATTTAATGAATGAGATTTACAGCCAGGAGCCTTTCCCTTGGCAGCGGATGGAAAAGAATTTTTTAAATTTCATAAAGAGCGACTGATGTAAACTACTATGTATAATTTGTTGCTGCCCTGTCCACTACGTTTCTCTTGCATGCGCGTTTTTTTGCCGTAGTGTCTCACGCCCTCCGGCTCCGCTTGCGGAGCGAGGTGCCTCCATAGGCCCCTCGACCGCACTTGACTTGACTTCGTGCCGAAATTCCCAGTCTTGAACGATGGGGCAGCGGACCAGGCTCCATACAATGCACACACAGAATCGATTGGCCCGAAGCCCGAAGATGGCTTCGGCAGCAACATTAGTAAGGTGACCGTGAGCTGGCGGGGCAAAAGCGCACTTAGTTCCATCATCGCAACACGTCCGAAACCAACCACAACACGCAGTCACCCATGAACGCGAAATGCCTAATGTGGAAGCCATCGGCACTAACCGAGGCACGCTCTTTGAATCTTTTACTGAACTCCTCAGTGACCTCCACAGACACAGGCTCGAGCTCATGCGCCAGCTCTCCAATTTCGAACCAAGCAGCCTGACCCGCACCACCCCACGGATCCGAGAAACGTTTCGACTTTGCCGAGCGGAGTAACAGGGTGTCGGCCACCACCACCCCATCGAGGGACAGGGTGGTAGTGATGGTCCAGGGGTTGGCCCCCTTAGACACCTTGTGCACACGACGGGCCCCACGGTGAGCTTTGGGAAGGAGCCAATCCCTCCACTCCGAGTTCGCCTCCTTGCGGGCTCCCGCTTCGACCTCCTCAAGAACCTCCTGGAACGCCTCAGCAAGGCGCCTCAACAACGTGACGAAACACATCAAAAACGGATAGCATTGCAACGGCAGGATGCGTATGTCACGAAATACCTCTCGGTGTGGCTTGTCCACAAGAAGAAGGATGAGGAAGAGGACCAGGAGGCCATCGCAAGCGTTCCACGGAGTTCTAGGAGGGTGAGGAGGAGGATAAGGAGGGAAGGAGGAGGACGACGAAATGACGAAGGCAGCAGATGATGATGCTGATGATGATGACGATGATGGTGACGATGATGACGATGCTGATGACGGCGCTGATGATGATGACGATGGTGATGCTGCTTAGGTTGATGATGGTGATGGTGATGGTGATGATGCTAATGCTGATGGTGTTGATGCTGCTGATTTTGATGCTGATGCGGATGCTGATGCTGCTGATGATGATGCTGATGAAAATGATGCGGATGATGATGACGATGCTGATGCTGCTGATAATGATGATGATGATGCTGATGATGATGGTGATGATGATGATGGTGGTGGTGGAGGTGGTGATGATGATGGTGGTGGTGGTGATGATGATGATGAGGATGATGCTTCGCGCATGCGCGTCTCTGTGGGAGGACTCAGCGGGCGATCTCCGAGGGCTTCAAGTACGACGAGTTGTCCAGGGTACAGCAGCGGGCTCTGGGGCCCAGAATCTGCTCTTGGGAGGAGGAGGAAGAGGAGGAGGAGGAGGAGGCGGAGGAGGAGGAGGAGGAGGAGGAGGGAGGAATCGGTCTGCAAACATTGGGTTCTCCTAGCCTTTGTGGCTGAGTTGTGACACCTACTGCACCTACGCTCTGAATTATCCAGGGCATGGTAGGATGAGAGTGCGGCGCAGACCAGCTGGAGCGGGAGGCCGAACAGGCTGAATATTCTGTCTGCGAATCTGTCGTTGGCTACCTGCACCTGCTTGATGTTCTCGTTCACCCGCAAAGGTCCCAACAATGGCTCTCATACATCTCCAATCCTCAGGCGTACTGAGTATGCCTGGCTTTCAGCAGGGTCAATCTGCAGTCGAATGGGTGCGGCCACGCGATGCTCGTCGGCAGCCGTTGCCGCCAGCGTGTCCGCCACGGTCTGCCAGGAGCGAAGGGATGGCGTACACTCGCACGAATCCATGCTGGTTCCGGGAGCATGCGCCGCGCGAACGTTCGTGTCACGAGGCTGGCCTCGTGGACTGGGGGGCCGTCTTCGTGCGCGTGGTGGAGCGCGTGCGTCTTCAGGTGGGCTCCCTACAGTGCCGTTTTTAATCCATGCTCCGCGTGCGGATCATTCATAAAAAATGCAGGGATCTAGTACTGAACACAACGATGAGTTCATGCATACATTTATACATAACATAAGTTAATCATGTATTAAGAGTCCTACACATTTAAAAATCCCATGTATAAAAAACTGCCCTGTACGTCCCTCCTCGAAGTAAAGACGCGCCGCGGCGGAGGCCCCGGCGGCACGCAGTGCGCCCGGCGAGCCGAGAGATTTGTGCGCCACGCCGCACGGCGGGGGCGGGAGGCTCGGAGCAGGCTCTGGGCGCTGACGCCCGGCGACCACCTCTCCCTCGACGCACGAGCAGCACGCACTCCACACCCACAGGGGGGTCGTTGGGAGGAGGACCTCCCCCTCCGCCTCCTCCTCCTCCGCCTCCTCCTCCTCCGCCTCCTCCTCCTCCTCCTCCTCCTCCTCCTCTCTACCTCCTCCGCCTCCTCCTCCTCCTCCTCCCCCCCTCCCCCTCTCCTCCCCCCTCTGCCCCTCCCCCTCCTCCTCCCCGTGCCCGGAAAAGAGCGCGCGCCGCGCGGCGCGGCCCACGAGAGGGCGGCCACGCGCGCAGACCCAGAGGAGCCAGTCTTTGACGAACGAGCAACACACACCCATACCCAGGGGGGGGTCGTTGGGAGGAGGACTGGCTATGGGTATGGGTGCGGGTTGTCGGACCCTGGGGAGCGCTCCCGTTCGAGCGGGGACCTCCATCCGACAACACGTGCCCATAGCCCTCTCCGATGCCCCTATGGGTATGGGTGTGTGTTGTTGGTTCGTCATCCGTCCTCGAAATCAAGCGCGAGTCTTCCCCGCGACTTGGCGGCGTCCCAGGACCCCCCAAATTCCAGTGCTCGCGCCGAAGCTGGCGGCCGCAAGCACAAGAGCCGGCCCCGCGGGCCGCGCACTTCGCGCGTCGATGAGCAACAAAAGCGTGCGTTCGATTTCGGCCGCAGCGCCAGCAGCGAGTCCAGCAGTTCGCCTCGAGCGAGGATCCGACCTCCTGGGAGCGGGCCCCGGGCAGCCTGCTGCAGGGCCATCCCGTGCTGGTCGAGGTCGTGGAGCACCGCGACGGCGGTGCCGTTTTCTTATTCCTTATTTCGCCGATCGGCGCGGGCTCTCGCGCCCCCCCCTCTTCCCCCCCCCCTGGAGTAGATCTTGGCTGTCTGAAAACAGGTTTTGGGCGCCTGTTTCAGGCAGGTGGAGCCTCCCTCACAGGACGCACTGCTGCGAACGGCCGCATGAAGCAGGGGTCCAGCCAGCCAGACCCCCCCCCCTCCCCCTCCTTTCCGCCCAATGCCGAAGCGCCGAATAAGGAAGCGCTCGCCAGGGCCATCCCGTTCTGGTCGAGGTCGTGGAAGACACCGCGACGGCGATCCCGACTCGCCTCAGCGCGGGCTGGGCGGCGTCGGGATCGCCGCTGGCACCCCCAGAGGCACAGACGGGCTGCCCACGGCGTCCCGCTCCGGAGCAGCCAGGCTCAGAGCTGTCGGTGCCGAAGGCGTTCCTCTGGGTGAGCCGGAGATTGCGGCGCTGCCCACGCCCAAGCCTTCGGCATGAGGCCGCGGGTTTAAACGCACTCGTGCACGTCCTGCCGTGCGGTGGCCTCGCGGGGGGGGGGGGCTTCCAGGCAGGCGCAGCCCCACTCACAGGGCGAGAGGCTGCTTCTGCACGTTCGCCACAGCGTGGGCACGTGCCGTGGGTGTCCGCGTTCGTGTCGGCCTTGACGAGAGCCTTCGGCCACGTCGCACCAACAGCAGTCGTTGGCGATGCCAGCAGTCGTTGGCTCCTCCTCCACCACCACCATGAGTTGGAGGGGGAGAGGGTCCTCCTCCTCCTCCTCCTCGTCCTCCTCCTCCTCCTCGTCCTCCTCCTCGTCCTCCTCCTCCTCCTCCGAGGAGGAGGAGGAGGACCCTCTCCCCCTCCAACAACACGTGTCAAGCGAATTCCATCTTTCATTGACTCCGGGTGGCCCAGCCTGCGTCGATGCGGTCGACTGTGGATGCCGTGTTCCACGCCCGCTCCCCCGTAGAGGCGGCCTGCCTGTTCCCAGCGCTCGGCCTGCACGCTGTTCTTGGCGTCGCTCGGACGTGTGCATTTTTTCTCGGCGAGGACCATCGAGGAGCATCCTTGATCATCTGGCGAAAAAACAACCGCGCACGAAACCGAAAAAAACACAGGGAATGGACGTCCGAGCGATGGCCAGTGTTGTCGAGATCTTGGAGCCGGGCTGCTGGCCTGTCCACCTCGGGCTCGCCCGTGAGCTGCTCGGAGTGCTGCTGGTCCCGCCAGCGCCGGCGGGAGCGTCCGCTCGTTGGGCCGCTTCGGGTCCCAGCCCTGCGCGAGGAGGCACAGGATGATGGCCGATTGTGGCCCACGTGGGTGTCGCGCTCAGTGTTGTGATGGTGAGATCTTGAACTGCTCGACCACCTTGGGCCTCGTGAGCTGGATCGCGCGCTGCATCGGCCATGCCTGGATCCACTGGCTGAGCCATTGCTGGATGGCACCCCGTGGGAATCGTCGGGCGGGGTCGTGCTCTGCTGCCTTCAGGTCCATGAGTGTCGTGAGGCAGCGGCCTTGCAGGCGTGGTCCGAGAGCGTCTCCGATGCGACGACGGAAGAGGGTGAGCTGGACGCCGAGCACTCCACGGAGTTGATGTCCTCAGGATCCTGCCGCTTGCCCACCCTGCCAGGCGAGCGGCTTTGTGACGTGGTATCGTCGAGTAGCCCGTGCACGGCGGACGATCTTCCGATGCATCAGCCCGTGCTTGGTTCGTGGCGGCGTGCGACTGGCTGGAGCATGTCACACGCCTGCCCCGATAGGTCGGTCCCCAGGTGGGCGTGCCGAGCACGGAGACTGCGTCTCGTGGCCCCGTCGCTGCATGTCCTTGGCGATGTAGCGAGCGTCGTCCATGCGGGAGCACATGACGGTTCTCTTCTGGGCGACGTCTGGGGTCGCCGCTCGATATCCGACGTGATAGGTTCGCATGCTCTGTGCTCGCTTCCTCGTCAGCTGGGTATGTCAGGCACTTGGCAGATCGGGTGCCTGGCCTGATCCCCTGCACCACTGATCGTGTGGTTGGGGGGGCTCCGCGAACACACCGCTTTGGGTCAGGGAGTATGGGCTGACACACTGCTACTGTAGTGAATCTGTTCATGAGACTTCGGTGGGGACGTGACAAACCAGGGCCACGTCCCCGAGCGGGACCCAGCCTGTGGAGTGGGGAAAGTAGACGGGGAGGAGGAGGATGAGGCGGATGAGGCGGAGGAGGAGGAGGAGGAGGAAGAGGAGGAGGAAGAGATGCAGGTGGAGGAGGGAGTGATGGAGTGGGGGTGGAGGATGGATACGAGGGATACATTGTAGAGGGAGGGGGGTGGGAGAGGAGGAGAAGCAGGAGGAGGAGGAACATGAGGAGGAGGAGGAGGAGGAGGAGGAGGAGGAGGAGGAAGAAGTGCAGGTGGAGGAGGGAGTGCTGGAGTGGTACGAGGGATACATTGTAGAGGGAGGGGGTGGGAGGAGGAGGAGGAGGAGCAGGAGGAGGAGGAGGAGGAGGAGGAGGAGGAGGAGGTGGTGCAGGAGGTGGAGGAACAAGCATGTTTTTGGTGCTGCTATTCGGAAGATGTGGATGAGGGCTGTATGGATTCCAGGTGGCACTCGGGCGTCCTGGAGGGGGTTGACGAGATTCCAGGTTGAGGGCGTCCTGGGGTGTGAGGCGTACAAGGGCAGGCTGAGGGGGATGCGAGAATGCGGGATGCTTTAGCTGTTCAGGGTGGCACTTGGGGGCCCCAGGGGTTCGAGGATGTTGCATCGGATTCCAGTGCGTTCTTGAGGGCTTTCACGGGAGGCTGAGGATTAAGAACGAGGAGGGAGGGGGGCGACGACGACGATGATGCCCGTTCTTACACTCCTCCCCACTCCGCTCTCCCCGCTCTGATGCATGCACTCGGTCTCCTCAGGGAAGGGGTTCAATGGTCCTCCTCCTCCTCCTCCTTCTCCCCCTTCTCCCCCATCCATTCCCACGCCTCCCCCTCCCCATGGTAGCCCGACTTGGGGTGGGGTCAGGTAGGCACCCACCTCAAGACCCAGGGGCGGCCTGGGGGTTTGGGAAGGCTTCGTTCAGCCGCAATTGTTCGTTCTCGATTCTCTGATGTATTGATTGCATAGTCCTAAACGGACCCCATCCCCATCCCGCTTCTGCTCCTTCTCCTCCCTCTTCCGCTGCCTCGTCTCCTTCCTCCCCTTCTCCTCCTCCTCCCCCATCCATTCCCCCGTCCCTCCCCCCTCCCCATCCGCCTTCCCCTCCTCCTCCTCCTCCTCCTCCTGCTCCTTCACAATTACTCAATATGAAAATACTCTCCCTCTTCCCCTGATGGCGTCCGGGTGATGGCCGCGCACCCTCCGCGTACTGTTTTTTTACACACAGGATTCCCGGGAAATCCCGGGAAACGACTCTCGCTGAGGCGCCGGCGTCATTTGTTTTCAAAATGTCTTTTGTTGTTGTGTTTTGTGTTTTTTTTGTCAAAATTTTGCTCTCGTTGAGGCGCCGGCCTCATTTCTGCTCCCGAATCGTTCCGAATCGTGCCTCCGCTGCAGCGTGGCCCTCATTTTCGGATCGGTGTTTGGCCTCCGTCGTTCAGGATGGCGTTCTCGCCCCAGCGCGGGCCTTTTTCTCGCGCGCCCATCCGCCCGCCACCACCGCGCCGCCCCGCCACCACCACCACCACCACCACCACCACCACCACCACCACCACCACACCAACAACAACAACAACAACACACCACCACCACCACCACCAAGCACCAGCACCAGTACCAACCACGACCACCACCGCACCACCACCCACCACCACCAGCACCCACCACACCACCACCACCAGCACCACCACCACCATCACCACCACCACCACCACTACCACCACCACCACCACCACCACCACCACGACAAACCACGCACACACGCACGCACGCACGCACGTGCACCACCACCCACTACGCACGCGCGCGCGGAGCCACAGGTCCGCTACGACACGCGTCCGCGGATAGAGAAAATCAGCGCCATGGTAAGGGATGGGAGGGAGGGGTAGGACGTCAGATATGACGCGAGCGCACCTAGCTTGTCCTCCCCCCCTCTCCCCCTCCCTCCTCCTCATCCTCGTATTGCCCGTGGGCGGACGGTAACGAGCCTGGCCCACGACCTTGGGGTCTCCCCGCGCAGGTTCTGCCGCTGGCCCTCTCGACGGACAGTGATGTCGTGGTGCGCGCCCACACGGGCACGGGCAAGACGTTGGCGTTCCTGGTGCCGGCGGTGGAGGCACAGCTGGTCTCGCGAGGCAGTCTGCACGAGGAGGAGGGTTTGGAGTAGTATGAGGCGGAGGAGGTGGAGGAGGTGGAGGAGGAAGGGGAGGAGCAGAAGGATGATCGGGGAGTAGTAGTTGTACTTGCAGTGATAGTTGTATTATTATTGTTATTTGTGGTCGTAGTAGCAGTAGTACCAGTAGTACCAGTAGTAGTAGTAGTAGTAGTAGTAGTAGTAGTAGTAGTAGTAGTAGTAGTAGTAGCAGTAGTAGTAGTAGTAGTAGTAGCGTTTTTCCCAACCATCCTGTGGTGTTGGGTCCTCGTTTTGAAGAGACAGCGCCCCGCGTTCACTCCTCCTCCCGCTGCCCCCTCCCTCCTGCCATCATCATCATCATCATCACCACCATCATCATCATCATCACCATCATCATCATCATCATCATCATCATCATCATCGTCATTATCACCATCATCATCGTCATCATCATCATGGGGCCACGAAACGTGTGCAACCGTTTCGGTATCACCATCATCATCATCATCGACATCATCGACGTCATCATCACCACCATCATCATCATCATCATCATCATCATCATCGCCATCATCACCCGTCACACGTTTCGCGGCCCCAGTGGCTCAGTGCCACCGCCCGCATGCGTCAGCCACACCCACTTCGGCACACCCCTCACACGTTTCGTGGCCCCATAGGGAGCTCCACCGAAGGCCCCAGTGGCTGCGCCCGCATGCGGTTCCACCCCCATTCTGGCACACCCCTCACACGTTTCTTGGCCCCATAGGGAGCTCCACCGAAGGCCCCAGTGGCTGCGCCCGCATGCGGTTCCACCCCCCATTCTGGCACACCCCTCGCACGTTTCGTGGCCCCATAGGGAGCTCCACCGAAGGCCCCAGTGGATGCTGCCTCCCATGCGCACCGCGCAGATCTTCCGAACACACCCCTCACACGTTTCGTGGCCCCATAGGGAGCTCCACCGAATAGGCCACAGTGGGGCGGCGCTCCCATGAGCCCACCGCGTCCATTTCTGCACACTCCTCACACGTTTGGTGGCCCCATAGGGAGCTCCAGCGAAGGCCCCAGTGGCTGCGCTCCCATGCGCCCACCGCACCCATTTCGGCACACCGCTCACACGTTTCGTGGTCCCATGGGGAGCTCCAGCGAAGGCCCCAGTGGCTGCGCTCCCATGCGCCCGCCGCACCCATTTCGGCACACCCCTCTGGCCCCATAGGGAGCTCCAGCGAAGGCCCCAGTGGCTGCGCTCCCATGCGCCCACCGCACAGATTTCGGCACACCCCTCACACGTTTCGTTGCCCCATAGGGAGCTCCACCGAAGGCCCCCGTGGTTGCGCTCCCATGCGCCCACCGCACTACTACCACTACCTACTACTACTATTACTACTATATACTACTACTACTACTTACTACTACTACTACTACTACTAACTACGACTACCACTACTACTACTACTACTACTACTACTACCACTACTACTACTACTACTACAACTACTACTACTACTACTACTACTACTACTACTACTACTACTACTACTACTACTACTACTACTACTACTACTAATACCACTACTACTATCAGTACTACGACTACTACGGCGACTACTACTACTACGGCTACTACGGCTACTATACTACTACTACTACTACTACTACTACTACTACTACTACTACTACTACTACTACTACTACTACTACTACTACTACTACTACTACTACTATGGAGCGTCCGCCCCGAGCCGCGCCTTCTCTCGACTTCCCGACTACTTGTTGGGCCTCGCGCCGCGGACGACCCGCGCGCGTCGCTGGGATCCTCTCAGGGCGACCAGCGCGCGTCGCGGGAACTCCGTGCTGCGTTTTGCATGGCGCCTCGTTCGCCCGTCGTCGCTCTGCCCAGCGGTCAGAGCCTTGCCCGCTATCAGCCAGCCAGTTAGCTAGCCGGCTCTCTTTGCTCCGCGCAGCGGACGACCCGCGCGCGTCGCTGGGACCCCGCCTGGGGCGACCAGCGCGCGTCGCGGGGACTCCGCGCTGCGCTGCGCCCGCAGCCTTGGATTTTTGGAGTGCGCGGGCAAAGAGAAAGGAAAAGAAGGGACGAAAGCGGGCGCTATCCTCGCAAGGGGCGTGCCGACATGGGTGTCGCGGCGTGCGGGCGCTGCCGTCGGGGTTCCTGCGGAGGCTGCCTGCGGCGGCCACGC